TTTGTCACCCATTTTGTTGAGATATCAGGTGGTGTGAGGGCGTTCAGGGTTAAGAAGGATACCGTAGAACGGGGTAATTTGAGACATGAAGGAAAATCGAGACAAAGCGCACTTTTTTCGGTTTTTGTCGTGTTGCTCTCTAGCGGTTGTTCAGAAGACCACCGTGAATTTTTTTTCGTGATCTAGGAGGCCGTGACAGCTCACAGGAAACGCACGAAGGCTATCAGAGACTCGCCAAGATTATTTAGAACCAAAGGAAAAACCTCTTAATTTTCACTAGTTTTATAAAGTTAGTGAAAAACCTCCCCAGAAACCTCGGTTAGAACTTAGGTTCTCGTCCGAACGAGATTTAAATCTGTAGGCAATTATGTCAACATAATCAGGACAATTTGGTTCCGTTATGTCTACTCTCTGGCTGCCTGTTCCAGATGGAATACAATTTTGTTACCTTGCAGGGAAAATAGAGACACCTCTTTTCGTTTGAAACATGAGGCCAAACATACTTTACTGTTATCAATTTCAAGTAATTATGATTTTAACACGAATTGGATTTACTACCTGACCGGCATCTATGCTCTTCGTTTAGTATTTTCATGTGACAGGCACAACTCATGACTTCTTAGACATTTTTCAGCTCTTTTTAGTGACACCCATTTTTCTTCCCTCTAGATTTTATCTCTTCTTCACTGGTAAAACAAAGGCATAAAAATTACGCCCTTTAGGGCATAAATACTCTTTTACGCCCTTGCAAGGGCATAAATCGTTTTATGCCTTTGGGAAGGGCGTAAATGGTATAGGAATTTCAAGCAAAATTTTAATGCCCTTCCCAAAGGCATTAACGATTTATGCCCTTTAAGGGCGTAAATCGTTTACGCCCTTAAAGGGCATAATTTTTATGCCTTTGTTTCACCAGTGTTCATTATAGTCCCCAATCATCATTAGAATGAATGAAAAGAACTTAAAAGGCTCTAAACCCGCCTAATTGAGTTAAATTTCTATACTTTTATACCATTTTTCTCTTTTGTCTCATATTACCCCACATTGCGGGGAAATATGGGACGGCATTCCGAGGGTTATTGCAAGGTCCCTACTGCATCTAAAAACATGAAATTTGGAGGGAGTGTAGCCAAAGGGTCAATGAACAAGTGATGAACACCTCAGCACCTCAAGTTAAACTTAAAAGGGGGAAATTCACAAAAAACCTCGAAATTTGTCTCATATTACCCCGTTCTACGGTACTTGGTTCAAGTTGATAAAGTCGAGATATATTGTCCAGTAGAGGAAATACAACCGCACTTCAGCAGAGTCGAGAACCAAGTGAACGAGGAGACAGAGTACAGTTTACTTGCAGTACACAACATACAGATTCATATTCAGATGTAGGCAGGTTCAGGTGTTATGAGAATATGTACGGTACAGGTATGGGAAATTGCTATATTCAACACATTTCAGAGACACAAAATTGATAAAGGTCTTGGGCGTTTAAAATTTGATTTTCCAAAGGTCTTTGCAGACTTGCTGCCCTTGCCGTTCTTTTAACAGAGCCGCCATCAGCATCATGTTGACCCTTACCATGACCAGAAGCACAATACGAATGCAACAGTTTTTTCTTGAACACCAACTGCAGTTGGCAAAGGTTGTTGAAGTATCCTTTACTCTTGTATTGAGCTGCACAACCATCTGTTATATATTCAACTTCTACAATTTCAGGAGTTTTTCATCTATCCAAGTGTTGGTCTTTGTCTGAAATGTACTGACTAATGGTACATCATGAATTAATCATCTGAGATAAATATTAGACTCCTACGCTGCAGGACATTGTTTTCTTCTTTGAAGTAGACTATAGTTAGGTGCACTGTTGCTTGTTTAGGCGGCCAGTGATATATCCCTATAGGGTAAGGTTACCAAACATGGATCACTTTTTAAATAATCTTCTCTACATCGAAATTAAGTATGGGTTGACTACTATTTTTGAATCTTATGTTGATGTTTACCTCACTGGTCGTATGGCTACCAAAAATGGTACCTCTACCTCGAATACTTTGGAAGTTGTGAGGACAAGAAAATATGGCTATTTTAGCTAAGGTTAGGTTAGGGTGGTCCAATCATGGATCACCCCACCAGCGTTTGGACACAAAGCAACGTATGCATTCAGTAGTCCCAAAATATCATAGTGGTCCGTCTAAAGTGCACGATGAAAAATTTTGAAGTGACTGCGGTGATTGCTTGGCCAAGAATCAGGGGTGCAAAAATCACCTTTTTGAACGTCATTTTTTCATCGATTTTCGGGGGCCTGTTTTAGGTGTCTTTCTAAACGCAACCCTGCAGAGTAGAGAGACGCAGTTGCAAACTTGTCAGATTCACATCGAACAGTCAAAGGGTCAGTCTAAGCAAGGAAAGACAGAAATTTAGAATCTGGCCACCTGGTCTTTAGATAAAGACCCCCAAACAGAAATGATCCATGTTTGGTACCCCGATCCATGTTCGGCACTTTACCCTACGATTGTACAGCTTCTTGCACTAAGCAATTATAATTCATGCTGAATTGAGCACTTGAGCACTTTATTTGATGGGAGGTCTTCCTTTAATTTAGCTACGTAGTCTCGCTGGCTGGTTGCAATTAAATCATGTGAAATCAGAGATGGTATCTGTTCCGATGCAGTTTCAATAAGGTCTGAACGAGTACAGACTTGAGCGATCATTTCAGTTACACCGTTGTTGACCTCCATTGTCGAAATAAATTTGACACTTTCATCAAAGAAGTCGTACTCATTCTCTGTAGAATGTTGTTCTCCCCAGATAAAATTTCTCCGGGCAACTTTGAGCAAAGGTGAGCAGGGGTCGGGCACAGCCCGAGCCCTGCCCGGCACCCGGTGGGCAACTACCGGGCAACACCCGGGCAACACCCGGGCAACACCCGGGCAACACCCGGGCAACACCCGGGCAACACCCGGGCAACACCCGGGCAACACCCGGGCAACACCCGGGCAACTCCGGGCAACATCCGGGCAACATCCGGGCAACACCCGGGCAACTCTGAGCAACTATCGGGCAACTTTGGGCAACTGTCCGGCTTGTTGAGGCATCACCCGGGCAAAGCCCCCCGCGGGCAAAAGTGCGCACCAAGTGACTCCAGCGCAGCGCGGCGCCCGGGGCGCCGCGTTGCAGTGACTCTACAGTTTGATTCTGACCTCGCGTCATTCTGTCTCTCTCGTTCGCTTCGGGCCACCCAATGGATATGAGTGAGAGAGGGAGAGAGAGAGAGAGAGCGAGAGAGAGAGAGAGAGAGCGGCGCGTCCGCCTGCGAGGGCCGGGATAGGCAGTCCCGCCGAACAGCGGAGCGCGTGGGTGCCTACCCGCAGGCTGATTTCGCACAATGCTTCGTCGCTCTGTCTCTCTCGCACCCAGGGGGCCACCCGCACGGGTGCGAGAGAGACAGGGCGACGAAGCAGAGAGAGACAGAGAGAGTACCCTGAGCTTACGCGCCATAAAACACGCTGCATCTCCTCGAAGAAAGCCGCCGCCGCCATAGGCAACCAATCTCACAGTGCAGCCAGCTGGTTGCCTACTCCCGTCCAGCAAGGCGCGCGGCGAGCCACCCTTACGCGCGGCGGCGGGAGAGGGAGGGGAGAGGGAAGGGGTGAGGGGGTGAGGTGAGCGTCTGTCTGCCTACCTCCGCCTCCCTACCCCTCCCCTCTCACCCTCCCCGCGCTGTGCGTTGGTTGAAATGTAAACAAACACCATGTTTGAAACGAAAAGGTTTGTGATGCTGCGCCCGTGTGATATTGACGTTGAACTTCTCACGTAACTTTATCACAATTTTGTGGCTTGCTTTATTCTTGCCCTTGCAAGTGGCTTCGCATGCACCTAGAGTTAGTTGTTTGCTAGTGCACTTCTAACTTAACCTCTCATGATCTGTACCCGATCTGTTGAACGTCCCCTTCGTTTTATTCCTCACCACAGTGTTCGTGTACTTTCTTTTTAGCTCTTGCTTTAGAGACGTTCGTGCTCTGCTGTTTCATGGATGTCACTGATACCAAAGACTTTTTGTGATGCTTATGTTTTACCAATCTTCTTCTTTTTGCAGGTATAGCCATGCTTGGCTGATGCTGATCCATCCCCTAGACGAAGGCCAAGTCCCGGCCAGGGGGCCATCACCCGGCCAACACCCGGCCAAGTCCGGCCAACACCCGGCCCAGGCCCGGCCCAGGCCCGGCCAACACCCGGCCAAGTCCGGCCAACACCCGGCCTGGGCCCGGTCAACTCCGGCCAAACCCGGCCTCGGACAACACCCCGCCATTGCTTGGCCAGCACGCGGCCATACTCATCAAACGGCAGAAAAGGGGTATTTTCGCTGTCTAAAGCGCTTCCGAGGCTCCCCATAACACTCCCGGCGCCTTTTTCGGTCCCGCGAGCGCCTGGGTAATAGTGGGTAGGCAGCCCCGCAGACACGCCTGTTGAGCGGGCTGGCCTCCGCTGTGCCCTGGCAGGCGGCCCGCCCTGGCAGGCGTTTGCTCGGCCCTGGCAAATTGCAACGTGGGTGACAAGGCGATCAGGCACGCCTTTTCAGTGGTCTGGCCGGGGATGGGCAGGCTATTTACTATTGAACCTTGGACCACAAGCTTCAGCAGTTCGTTCTCTTCACCTTCTTTTTTACTTTTTCCTCCCTTAATTGTGTGTTTTCAGGTGAGTACCGCAGCCCATCTGGATCAACCTCCGCTGTCGAGGAGGCAGCAGTCATCAGCCCTACAGCCCTGTCAAGTCAGATCGGAAAGTAATCGTCCCCCTTCAATCACTTAGGCAGTATTGGCCTTCCCTGGTTTGGTGTGGAATTTTGCAAAGCTCACCACGAAAAGATTGCAGCCTCTAAATGCAGATTTGTAGCATAGTGGAAAAAGGTTGGCTGAGAAATGAACAGAAGAGATGAAACAGTAAACAGTGCTTATTATTTATTGAGACATGCACATTTGAAGACAGTGATAAATAAATCAACTCAGTCCTTACTCATACTCATGCGTGTTGGCTGGTTTGGACATGTACATTTTGTTGCCAGCAGGTATTTTCACACACACACTTTTCAGTGCCCTTGCATTTAGAACTATGTTACAATTTGAACCTATGTATTGAAAGTTGTTTGGCACCACAACGTCGGGGACAAGGGTAGGAAAACGATAAGTTACTTGCACCTTTTCTAATACCACATACAACTCACAAGGACATTCACATTTGGTTTCACAAGTACACTCATGCAATTGTAACAAGCTAGGGCCCGCCCTTCCGTCGAACCGAGTTGCCAGCTCCGCTTCGCTGCGCCGGCAACTCGGTTCGACAGGGGGCCGGCCCAGCTTGGCCTGCCGGCGGCCTTTTCTCGGGCCTTCGGCCCTCGCATCAGGCCCAACTTGGCCAGTCGAAGGCCCGGGCCTTCGGCCCGCTCGCATCACACACCCCGTGAGCGGGTAAAGCACAGTTATCGATGTACCATCGTGACTTAGGCCCGCCCTTCTATTCAGAATATGCATTAGTCCTTACACTTTTTACTCCAACTGTCCTTAGAATATGCCCATTACATTTGTCTCTTCGCCCTCATTCCGAAAATACCCATATTTGCCATGCTTCTGCAACTCCTTGCAATAGAGGCACAGCAGGAGCGCAAAACGAGTCCGTCGCACTTTTCCCCATAACTCATGAAGCCGGGCTCCTGGACCCCCCTTCCGACCCCTCGTTGAAGAGGTCTTGCCAAGAACTATCCAAAACTTGAGTAAAAATTTTCAGTCGGTCGACCCTCTTTTTTCAAGATCCTGATGTGACTAATAGACGAAGTCGGGCTCCTGGACCCCCTTTCCGACCCCTCGTTGGAAAGGTCTTGCTGAGACCAATCGAAATCTGCAATAATTTTTTTTAGTCGGTCGACCCCCTTTTTTGAAGATCCTGATCTTGCCAACTCGGAAAAGCGGCCGATGGGGTCGGGACCAGGTCCATTCATCTTGTCTCGTCGCCCCGATTCCAAAAATACCCCTATGTGCCCTGCTAGCACCAATAATGGCGGAAATCCCCCTCCCGCTCATGTAAACCATGATGCACCTGCAGCAGCCCTTGTGCGACCCGGACGGGATTTGCACCACCGGATTATTTGTTTGGACGGTACTCCTGAAGTACCCTCCAAATCTGGTTACTCTAGCTCAACTCCTTCCTTGTACACAGACGCCAACAACAACAACAACAACAACAACAACAACACACAGACACAAAGGCAAATGCATAGGCCCTCCCCCTATTTTTTGAATAGAAGGGCGGGCCAAAAAGGTTTGTATGATGCCTACATCTTCTGCACCATTCTCACACTGATAAACTGCAGCACTAGAGTCTCTCTTCTTTGAAAGCTGACTTGAAGCAGAAGCGAATGTGTACTTCCCTTTCTTCAAGTAAGAAAACTGAGAGATTCGGGTGTACTTCAAGCCTCTTAACAAATCACTCATTTCCGTTGTTTGCAGTGGCACTGGAGTATCGATGACAATCATTCTTTCAACTTCTTGACTTCGGACAAATTTTTGTCTCTTTATAAGGTTTTTGCAGAAGTCTTTACATGGTGACTCTGGCAAAGTGTCTACCAGATCTGGAAGACCTAAACAAGTTTGCAATGAGGTTGCAATTTGCCGCTCTGCCCAACGCGTTCCATGAACAAGACACAGGATAAGCCCATTAATACTTTCTAAGGGAAAACACGAGTAACACCACAATGGTCCATTTGCTAAGACTACTGCCCATAGATGGAGCAACAGATGAAAATTAATTGTTAGGTATTTAACATCATAAAAATCAGCAAATTGAGCAACATATGCATGAAGTAGTTTTTTGGCAGTAGGTATTGACTTCTTGGTGGTGACGACATCTGCATTGAGAAGTTGTATAGCAGCAACAATGGTAGCATGATGCACTAAATAGCGCGAAGGCAGAAGGCCATGGAGAATTGCCAGTGAATAATCTTCAAACCAAGCTTTGCTTTCTTTTATCTTCCAGTATCCTAGATCTGACAGAGATCTTGGAGTTCTATCACAGTGACATGGAGGCTTGATGTTAAGTAGCAAATTATTTATAGTGTCAGCATGTTGGTGAATACTCCACTTTCCTTTGTCTTTCTTTTCAGAGCTGGTAAGAAGTTTTAGAACTTTCTTTCCTACACCATGATAAACCAAATGCATCGCATCCACGCAGGTTCCACTGACAAAGTCTGGAGTTAGCTTGGACAGAACCGAGGGGCCCTTCACTCCCATGACAGGGTTATCAGGTGTTGCGTCTTTGGCATGTTCCTTCATTCCTTGAAGAGTGCGTGCAACCATTTCTTCTTTTGCATACGGAAAGATTCTTACTCCAGGGCAATTATGTCTTGCCTCGCCCTTTTGAAGACAACACTGACAAGAATATTCACCGTTAAACTGCACAAGATTCATTGCGAGGCTTCTTGCTGGTGTATCGCCTGTTCCATCAAGGAGACATAGAGAAATATTTTTCTCCCCATGACCGTTGACAGCAAACTTGATGCCACTACTAAGTTTTGACAACTCCGGATAAGCAGCAGAGAATAGAAGATTACATGGGGGCTTTACAGGGCCAACCCAGATTGCAGTAACAAGAACATTTTTTGGTTTAAAACGCTCACTTAAGGGCAATTCATTGATTGAAATATATTGTGGCCATGCACTTACATTAGAACTCTTATACAAGGAAGCTCCATCAGTATACCATTTGCCAGAAAGTTGACCCTCTTTACCAAGACAACCAATAGATACCATGTTTGCATACTGTTGTCCACTGTACACATCCGATATATCTTCAGAGCTGGTGTCAGAGGAGAACCGAAGTTTAGAATAGAACCCTTTCCTTTGCATTAGTGTTTCCAGTTGTTGCACAATAGATAGTTTCACAAGAAAGCAAACTTTACCATCAGGACAAATATTACATTTTGTATTTGGTTGTAAGCTTTTGAAGCACTTTGAGCAATAGTATTCAAATGTTTTTGGACCCTGCATGTACAAAAAATAGTCCTTGAAAGCTTGGAGGGATGTCCTAAAAATATTGTTTTTAGGGAGATGAAAGGCAATCAGATCCAATATGGATTTTATACATACACCACTAAGTTTAAAGGTGAGAACTAGGGTTAAAATAGCTACAAAAGACTGGTGCAATGAAATTGGAGCACCCGGATAAAGAGGATGATTACACTGAGCACTTCCACCATCAGCACTTTCCCCGGTAGCACCACTGTCTTCCTCAAAAAGTTCACCATCATCTGCGGCTTCTGGACTGAATATGTTCAAAATATCAGACTGAATGAACGCAGGAAGATTTGGTTCCAATTGGATTTCAGGATGTTCAGGATTAAGTCCTGGTACTGGATGGCGCTGTGGCCCAGGATGTGACTGTGGTCCAGTATGTTGCTGAAGTCCAGGATGTTGCTGCACTCTGGGGCACGGTTCTAACTGTACGATTTCTTGAGTAACTGAGGCTTGCGGTATCAGAGGAAGAGGTGGGCTTTCAAATGCAGCAAAATTTTCATTATGTATTGGTTGATTAGCCCTAAAAGGGAAATAACAAGTTAGAACCAAATACTTCAAATACACATCAAAGATGAACCGATAAATAAGACTCGCTAACCTAAGCTGTTTTGTCTGACTGGGAGACATATTTGCCACAGTAGCTGGTTTATGATGTTCAGAATAATACTGTTGTGGTCCAGCATAAGGCAGTGGTTCAACAATTACTTCCCGACAAATTGATTCTTGTGATACATCTGACCTGTCCATTAACTTGGGCTGTCCAGATTGAGACTGAGTGGAAGATGGGCTTTGAAATGAAGTCGAACTTACATCAGTAGTTGGTTGATCGAGCCTGAAAGGGAATTGTGACTAAGTTAGAAATTGAGCCATAAAATATAAAACAATGGTGAAAATATTCTGGTGTAACTGTAGACTTGCTAACCTGAGCCGTTTTCTTAAATCTTTCTCAAGCGCTGGTTGGCAAGATGGTTCAAAACGTCCAAGGAGAGGTTGTGGTCCTGGATGTGGTGCAGGTCCAGGATGTACTTGCGGTACAGAAAGGGGTGGAGCCTGTATTGCTGGCTCAACCAGTGACTCTGGCTGTGCAGATGTAGATGCAACAGGCAACTGAGGGGAATGTGAGCTTTCAGATGCAGCTAAATTCAAATCAGGAGTTGGTTCATCAGTCCTTCAAAGAAAACAGCAAGTTAGGACCCGAACCAAAAAAAATGCACAACAAAGGTGAGGTGAAACGATAAATAACTAACCTCAGTCGTTTCCTCGGATTGGAAGACATTCTCTCAATTCTTTGTATCTACATAGCCTCAAAATACAGACAAAAGAATTTCACTAGCTGTCGTTCTAAAACTACGTTTCAACATCATGCTTTTCGCAATCATCGCCACATCGCACGTAGAATAGTAGTCCCGTGCTGGTTACAACCCGGTCGGCAAACATGTAAATGCAGAATGCAGGTATTTCTTCAGGTGTTTTCGCGCCATGAAAAAATAATTGACCCGATTTGTCATATTTTGTTCGTTCCACGGGATTTCACATATTTGCCTGTGCTTATTCAAACTGGCAACATTATCATTGCAGCATTCCCCGATCTACCTGAACTCACGTTCTGAAACATTGCACGTTAAAAACAAAGAATCAAACGGTGTGCTAGTTTTTTTTATAATTTTTAAAATAATAGTTTTGTTTATATAGTCAGATTAAATAAATGTTGTCCAACGTGAAACATAGTTTGGGTGCATACTGTTGGTAGTATTAACAGTTTCCGCGAGCCCACTCATTCAAATCAAAACCCTCCAAACGGTTTGTCCAGTGGCTCGTGTTTACATCAAGTTTCATTAATTCAAGAAAATATGGCCAAAAGGAAGGCTGCTACTGGAAGCAAGACGAAGACCAAGCCTCCGAAACAAGAACCCTATGCTCTTGTGTATTATACATTAGATAATACTGTTGGGACTGTTTTGCGCTCTAAGCTTGTGGGTGATTCCATAGAAGTGGGCACCATTGTTCAAGCTCCCTTGCCCATTGACTATCCAGAGCCTTCTGGGGATGAAATGCTTGAGGCAGTAGTAATAACGTTTGGTTGTTAGTATTTTTGACATAATAATTTCATTCCCATCTAGAAAGCGCTTCATCATTCTCTGGTTTTTTAGAGTGTGCACTGCTAATTTAGTTTTCATGTTACAGACAGCATTCATTATTTAGAAAGCACACCAGTAGATGAAAGTGGACAGTTAATCAAAGATGCTATCTATGCAGAAAATTCATTGGCTCTGAAGAAGACAAGTAAAGCAAAAGAAAGGCGCTTTCACAGTCAAGCCATAAATAACATCGATAAAGAAATTGACAAGTTGGAAGATTTGTCTTTGAAGGTACAGTTCTAACAAAGCGACGTTTATTTGTTTGGTTGTATGTTTTTTAATTTTCTGAAAAACTTGTTTACTTTTTATGGTTTTAGTTTAAAACTCATAATGAATCAAGCACCACAAATGGGGATGAGGGAAGGAAAACCCAGGATGAGCAAGAAGGAAATGATAACAACAGTGAAGTAATAACAACGGATGGTGCTGACCATCTGGATGCTACAGCCGGAAACATTATCCAGGTTAAAGATAATGCTCATAACTTCATGTTATAGCTCAGAGCAATGTCAGATTATTATACTTCTTTTTTGTTTTTGTAGACACAGTCTGTGAACTGCATCCCTGCGTCTTGCCCTCTAGCAAATATAATGAAAATTGGTAAGGTATTAGTAACATAAATAGCTCTGTGTACATGCACTAAAATTCATCCTAACTAATAGCCAATATCTTTTGTAGCATCTCATGAAAATTTAAACTTTTTGGAAGAGATTCTGATAGCCATCTGTCAACATAGGCAGGTAAGACACGAAGTAAACTGCACCTATGTTTACTTCCAAGGTCTTTGTCACATGTATTTTGCTCTTATATTCTAGAATTCCCAGGATCAAGAACAAGAAAATAAATTACCTCCAACCCAAGAAAATTCACCTCCAACCCAAGAAAACAATGAAATAGAATTACCACCAATTTCTCTTGGGGATCAATTCAAAGCCTTGCCATGCTATCAACTTACTTCTGATAAGGTTTTACTCTCAGGCACTTTTAACATTTTTAGTACTAAACACGTTGTTAATTACTTTTGTTGATCTGTTACAGATGCCCCTAGTAGAAAATAATGGTATATACATTGAAAGGATGATTTACGCCTCCATTCCACATGTTACACCACAGTTAATTCAGGACAAGGGCAAAAAAATGGCAGATGATGGTAGTCTATTTCCTCGAGGAATGATCAAATACTTATATGAACTGTTAGTTCCCGAAGTTATTCGAAAAGTGGCAGAACCAAGTGATATACCACAGGATATTAAATTTGTCATTAAAAGTATGTATCAAAATATTGCATACCTAACGAACTATAGAGGTAATCTAACTCTTTTTGTCTTCATTTCAGCATACATCAATTTAAGGCTCCCTCCGACAGTCAAACTGATTGATACCAAATTGAACGAGGCTCTCTACGATATCTGTCGGAAGGAAAAGAAGAAGCAAATCAAATCTTAGTAACATTTGTTTTTATTATTTATTTAGGACCAAATAGCACAATGTTACAAACAATTAAATTGTATTTAAGTTTATTGTTTTTGTTTCAAAAGTTTAAAAAAATGAATTTAGGATCTAATAGCACAATGTTACAAACAATTTAATTGTTTTTAAGTTTATTGTTTCTGTTTCAAAAGTTTTAAAAAAAATTCTGTTCTTATTAAATTTATGTGTACATAAGGAATACATATCTCAAAATTGTTCACTGAAATTATCTTTTCTTTTAAGTAAGGCCCTATGGATTTTATTAAAAATCTGCTCTTCTCCCTCCTCAGTTAAATTCATTTCAAACTTCCCATCCTACATTTTATTCTTTATCTCAAGCATTCAACATAGTACCAAGCATAAACCAGTGATCAACACTAATACTGCTCATTTCTCAGCCAACCTTTTTCCACTATGCTACAAATCTGCATTTAGAGGCTGCAATCTTTTCGTGGTGAGCTTTGCAAAATTCCACACCAAACCAGGGAAGGCCAATACTGCCTAAGAGATTGAAGGGGGACGATTACGTACTTTCCGATCTGACTTGACAGGGCTGTAGGGCTGATGACTGCTGCCTCCTCGACAGCGGAGGTTGATCCAGATGGGCTGCGGTACTCACCTGAAAACACACAATTAAGGGAGGAAAAAGTAAAAAAAAAGGTGAAGAGAACGAACTGCTGAAGCTTGTGGTCCAAGGTTCAATAGTAAATAGCCTGCCCATCCCCGGCCAGACCACTGAAAAGGCGTGCCTGATCGCCTTGTCACCCACGTTGCAATTTGCCAGGGCCGAGCAAACGCCTGCCAGGGCGGGCCGCCTGCCAGGGCACAGCGGAGGCCAGCCCGCTCAACAGGCGTGTCTGCGGGGCTGCCTACCCACTATTACCCAGGCGCTCGCGGGACCGAAAAAGGCGCCGGGAGTGTTATGGGGAGCCTCGGAAGCGCTTTAGACAGCGAAAATACCCCTTTTCTGCCGTTTGAAGAGTATGGCCGGACTGGGCCGCGTGCTGGCCAAGCAATGGCGGGGTGTTGTCCGAGGCCGGGTTTGGCCGGAGTTGACCGGGCCCAGGCCGGGTGTTGGCCGGGCCTGGGCCGGGCCTGGGCCGGGTGTTGGCCGGACTTGGCCGGGTGTTGGCCGGCTGATGGCCCCCTGGCCGGGACTTGGCCTTCCTCTAGGGTCCCCTTTCCCCATGATTGGACGTCCTCCTTTCGACAGCCAAACTTCATAAACTTGTGTGATCCCGCTTCAAATGGTGAAGACACCGCATCAATACAACTTTCCCGTCCCACTTTTGGTGAGTTTGTTTTTACTTTTCTTTCCCATTTTTCACATACTGAATTATTTTGTGTTACTAACGGTGTACTTGTCTTTGATAGATCATACTTGTTCGGGCCTGCAGACCTGCAGGCATAGGAGTCACAGGATCGAGTGGTGTTCCAAGACGGTTGGCAGAAAATGAAAAGGTCTTTGAAGAAATATGACGAGTGATTGAAATGGACGATGAAAGTCAATCAGATAGTTACCATACCGGAGCTGTCATAGTTCCTCTGTTGTCAATCCATGTCGGCCGATCTGGCTGAGATTTTGCAGGCTTATTGGGTATGTTCTTGGCTCGGCACACGCGAAATTTCACTATCCTAACTCACGTGGTTCAGTTTTTATGGCCGAAAAACACCTGAAAAACGGCGAAAAATCGAGTTTTCTGCTGGCAGATCACTACTGTCTTGAAGGTAGGGGGGTCTGGGGGGCGGAGCCCCCCAGCCTCGTCAAATTAAAAAGTTACAAGGGTCAAGATCGTGTTATCTTTAGATGAAGCAACTCTATCTAAAATGAAGGGGGTCTGGGGGGCGGAGCCCCCCAGTATGCAACAAGTAAGAAGTAACCGACGATTGACAAGCCATTGCCTGCCGAAGGCAGGCTAGCGCCGCAGGCCAAGGTAGGTACGCCAGGCGCGGATTGGAGGAACAGGCAGCGAGACATCGCGAAGCCTGTTACGACAAGACGCGGTCTGGCGTAAACCTACCTTGTTGGCTGAGCGATAGCGAAGCCTGTTACTCCAGTGGGGTTGAAAAGTTTTTCATGTCTGTCTGTCTGTCTGTCTGTCTGTCTGTCTGTGTGTCTGTGTGCACTACTCCTCCTGAACGGCTTAGCCGATCTCGGAGAGATTTTGCACACTTCTTGGGTATGTCCTTGGCTCGGCACACGCGAAATGTCACCATCCTAGCTCGACTGGTTCAGTTTTTATAGCCGAAAAACACCTAAAAAACGGCGAAAAATAGAGCTTTCTGCAGAAAGATCACTTCCGGCTTGGAGAAAGGGGGGTCTGGGGGGCGGAGCCCCCCAGCCTCGACAAGTTAAAAAGTGACAAGGGTCAAGATCGTGTTATCTATAGATAAAACAACTCTTTTTTGGCTGAGCGATAGCGAAGCCTGTTACTCCAGTGCGGTTGAAAAGTTTTGTCTGTCTGTCTGTGTGTCTGTCTGTCTGTCTGTCTGTGTGTGTACACTACTCCTCCTGAACGGTTCGGCCGATCTGGCTGAGATTTTGCAGGCTTATCAGGTATGTTTTTGGCTCGCCACAAGCGAAATTTCACTGTCGTAGCTCAACTGGTTCAGTTTTTATAGCCGAAAAACACTTAAAAAACGGCGAAAAATCGAGTTTTCTGCAGGCAGATCACTTCTGTCGTGAAGAAAGGGGGGTCGACAAGTTAATAAGTTACGAGGGTCAAGATCGTGTTCTCTGTAGATGAAGCAACTCTATCTATATTTGAGGGGGGTCTGGGGGGCGGAGCCCCCCAGCATGCAACAAGTAACCGCCGACGGACAAGCCAATGCCTGCCGAAGGCAGGCCAGCGCCGCAGGCCAAGGTAGGTACGCCAGGCGTGGATTGGAGGAACAGGCAGCGAGACATCGCGAAGCCTGTTACGACAAGACGCGGTCTGGCGTAAACCTACCTTGTTGGCTGAGCGATAGCGAAGCCTGTTACTCCAGTGGGGTTGAAAAACTTTTTCTGTCTGTCTGTCTGTCTGTCTGTGTACACTACTCCTGAACGGCTCGGCCGATCTGGCTGAGATTTTGCAGGCTTATTAGGTATGTTCTTGGCTCGGCACACGCGAAATTTCACTTCTCTAGCTCAACTGGTTCAGTTTTTATAGCCGAAAAACACCTAAAAAATGGCGAAAAATTGAGTTTCCTGCTGGTAGATCTCTCCTGTCTTGATGAAAGGAGGGTCTGGGGGGCGGAGCCCCCAACCTGACAAGTTGAAAAGTTACAAGGGTCAAGGTAGTGTAATTTGTAGATGAAGCAACTCTATAAAGAGTGAAGGGGGTCTGGGGGTTGAGCCCTCCAGCATGCAACAAATCAGAAGTCACTGATGATGGGCAAACATTGCCTGCCGAAGGCAGGCTAGCGCCGCAGGCCAAGGTAGGTATGCCAGGCGCGGATTGGAGGAACAGGCCGCGAAACATCGCGAAGCCTGTTACGACAAGACGCGGTCTGGCGTAAACCTACCTTGTTCTATTGGGTGATATTTGCTTGCCCTTGTTTGTAAACACTCGCTCCTCCTTATATTGTTTTTATATTGTCTAGGAAAAATTAAAACAGAAATTTGTTGTCTATTTGATTTGTTGTGCATTGTATTTTTGCTCTCCTGAGCCATCACAAACCAGACTTCTTATAAGTCAGCAAACTAGTGAGTTACATGATGGAAATAAGTTGAAGTCAGACAAAAGTATTTTTATTTTAAGGCAAAATTTATTGTAAGATATTTTAACAAAAGTCTTGGGCTTATGATACTTTACATCAGTTAGTAGGCACTCTGCTTTTAATTAATTGGTCTTTGAAATTAGTAACAAGGTAGGTTTACGCCAGACCACGTCTTGTCGTAACAGGCTTCGCGAGGTCTCGCTGCCTGTTTCTCCAATCCGCGCCTGGCGTACCTACCTTGGCCTGCGGCGCTTGCCTGCCTTCGGCAGGCAATGGCTTCTCCATCATCGATTTTCCTAACTTGTTGCATGCTGGGGGGCTTCGCCCCCCAGACCCCCCTTCATTCTAGGTTGAGTTGCTTCACCTGCAGATAACGCGATCTTGACCCTTGTAGCTTTTTCACTTGTCCTGGCTGAGGGGCTCCGCCCCCCAGACCCCCCTTTCTTCAAGCGACAGAGGCGACTTGCCTACAGAAAACTCGATTTTTCACCGTTTTTTAAGTGTTTTTTGGCTTTAAAAGCCAAACCAGTTGAGCTAGGATGGTGAAATTTCGCGTGTGCCGAGCCAAGGACATACCTAATAAGCCTGCAAAATCTCAGCCAGATCGGCCGAGCCGTTCAGGAGGAGTAGTGTACACACACAGACAGACAGACAGACAGACAGACAGAAAAATTTTTTCAACCCCACTGGAGTAACAGGCTTCGCTATCGCTCAGCCAATTAGTTCAAATTTTGTTTGAAGACCAAATTTATTGTAAGATATTTTAACTCAAGTCTTTGACTTATGATACTTTACATCACTTAGCAGGTACTCTGCTTTTTGGCTGAGCGATAGCGAAGCCCGTTACTCCAGTGGTGTTGAAAAGTTTTGTCTGTCTGTCTGTTTGTCTGTCTGTCTGTCTGCGTGTGTGTGTGCACTACTCCTCCTGAACGGCTCGGCCGATCTGGCTGAGATTTTGCAGGGTCATTAGGTATGTCCTTGGCTCGCCACACACCAAAATTCAGCTCTCTATCTCAATCCATTCGATCATATTAGCATGAAAACCCTTAAAAAACGGCAGAAAAAAGACAACTTTTTAGGTACTTTAAACTTTATGTCAAGTTCCATATCGTTTCATATGTTTTTGAGGCTGCTGATGACGAAAATAGAACCCGTTCGGACCCCCGACCGAAAGTTGAATCCCTTTGGTGTAGATTTTGATGACCAAATGCTATTTTTGAGGGGATCACGCCCATTTCTACGGTCTGCCTAGGAAAGCCCGTGTAAAAACGAAT